ATGCAACAGGAGCTGAAGAATCCGAATATCTCATTCAGAACTAAAATCCTCCAAAAGACGTGGTGTTTTTGCGTTTTTCTTAACATGTACCAAAAACAGACTTTTTCGGGGATTCTAGTATTTTCACGTTTTCGACCTGATCGACGAAGTGAAATCTGATGACTATGATCATGGATCAGAATTGTCAGGGCTATCGAATGAGGTATAATCCGACCACTTTTGCGTCTGCTCCGTTTTTGCCTTTCCTGCACCTTATATAAAAGTTATATAAAAGGAAATGTTGTGTGCGGAATAGAGGAATAGCGGAACAGAGGAATAGAAGAATAGAGGAATAAAGGAATAGTGACCGACCGACCGGAATACATTTTGACATGCTCCCTAAATGTAACGTAGTCAGTTTATTATAATGTAATTATAATTGTTTAAATAGAAATTGTTTGTATTTCTAATTAGTTGGCTTCCAACTACGTAGTTTAAATTTTAATTTTTATGAAATACTGAAAATATTATTATTTTCTTACAAATGCATAATTTCATGTTTATACATAATCCAATCTTTCATTAATTCTTTGTTACCTGATTTGGCTTTCAGATGATTTATTTGCTTGTTCTTTTGCTGTTAAAACTTGAAAGTTTATCATAAATTCTATCATTTTTCTCTTTTTTTCCACGTATTTGAGTTTTAAAAAATGATACGTCACCGTCTCGTGAACAATTCTAGATATGGGCAAAACCAGCCAAAACGGGATACGACTGGCTTTTATTTGTCTAAGATTCTTTAGAAGGGTTCTTTTTCTGAAAACGTTCTTTTATCATGAATATATGTAAAAATGTTTGCGCTTTAAGCTTATATCAACTTAAAATTTATTAGCTAATTAGTTAATTAGTGGAAACGTAATTAGCGAATAAATATCTAACCTTTTTACAGAAAAATCCAGAAATTTCATGATAGGCTTCACGCCGCGAACTACATCTATGATGAAATTTTTAGCAGGATCGGACACTAAAAAGTTTGGTTTTATAGAATTCTCTCAATCCATTCTTCGATTGCTTGATTAACTGCTTCTGGCTCTTCTTCCATAATCCAGTGACCTGTTTCGAAATCAATCACTTCCTCATCGCTCATGTATTGACTTTGTCGTGCCAAAACGGAGTTAGACATGGATATCTAAGTGCATCTCTAATAAAAAGAACTGGTCGTTTAATATTTGGATCGAGATTCATTTCGTCATTCCAATTAATATTACCAATAGCTGCCTTATACCAGTTAAGTTTAGGCCGTACGGCATTGACGAGAAATTGATGAATTACATCGAAGTCGTCTTCTGTCATAAATGAAACACGATTTGTTCTTCGTCCGCTCGTCAGCCATTGTCGCAGTTTACCAAGTGGAACCAAAGCCGTTTTGATAAGCGTTGCATTACTTGCAAACAGTAAGTCAATGAAACTTTCCAAATTGCTTTCAATAAGCTTGGCCGCTTCATCAGAATCAAAAAATTGCCAATAACCCAACGTTTCAAATCCGCAGAATTCTTTTGAACTTTTAAGTGCTTGATCAAAATCCAATATTCCCGGTACTTGATATCCAATACTGAGTAAAACAAGACCCAATGTTCGTTCAGGATAATACAGAACAAATCGACTGGCTGGTAGAGTACCCCAGTCATGTGAAACGACAAATACTTTGTCGAGAGACAAGTAGTCAAGAAGAGAAATGAGATGATTGACCATTGATTTGGCTTTGTATTCATCTTTGTTCAATGGTGAATAAGTTTTACCATAGCCCATCATATTTGGTGCTAGACATCCATATCCTTGTCGCGAGAAATGTTTCAATTGATGTCGCCAAGAATGAAGCGATGAAGGAAAACCATGAAGAAAGAGAATAGTCGCTTTTGGATGATCAACATCATTGATTGCCTTGATGTACATATATTCATAAGTTATACCGGGAGCAACTTCATAGCTCTGCGTTTCCAGTGTAATGCGCGACTGTTGTACATGATTGTTAACAGTATCGACGTTTTTGAACGACGATAGAGTTATCACAAATTTTAAATGATGAATAAAGACAAAGATAGATAAAACGTAGAACACATAGTCTTTCGTAGAACTCATGTTCTCGTAATTCTATACGATTGACTATACATATAAAGATAAAAATCGTCTTCATTCTTTTCAATTATTTCTTCTTTAATCATTCTTTATCTGCTCTCTGCTCTCTGCTTTCTGCTCTCTTGTTTTTTATTCACTCAATCTCATGTAAATATTAGACTATAATATTCACCGATTAATATGGCCTTAGGTAGGTATAATCTCTTTTAATATATCAAATTCAAAACGTAATAGTATGTTAAATGTCACTAAGAAAATGAGTCAAGAAGTCAGAAGATCAAAATTATGTAAAGTTGATTAAGTTATTTTTATAAAAATTTCTTAATTTTTCTTAAAAATTACATCAATAATGTTGATAAACGCATGTAATAAACATCAATTTACCCTAGATGTATTCTAGCGTAATTGCCATTTTTGTGTTCAGTACAACAAACAGATATTGTTTTTGTTCGTTTCTTTATTCCAGTATCCAGTAAAACAAAATGCATAATGATAGCAGTTAAAATATACAGGGTGACCCAAAATTATGCGATATTTTTTTTTTTAAATTTCAATCAAATTTATTTTCAGAAAACAACATAATATTTATTCAAAATGTCCGCCCTCTGCTTCGATCACTGCATCTAATCGCCTCATCCAATCGTCGATGGCTTTGTTGATAATCTCCTGATCCAAGTTGTTGAAGGCATCTTCTATCGCTTGCTTCAACGAATCAACAGAATCATGCGCTTCTACATTTACCTCAGCCATAAGAATGCTCCAAATTGCGTAATCAAGAAGATTCAAATAAAAAAAACTTGATTTTTTTCTTTGGTGGGATCCACAAAACTTTGAAGTTCTGAAAACCCTATGTAGGATTTTTCATAAACAACCTGATTGCCCATAGATTGAGAGTCAAATACAACAAATTCCTTCTCATCATCTGAAGAAGGATACATCTATCTATCAAATAAAAAAAACCGCAGTTTAATAGAATAAACTATAGTGAAGAAAAATTTGTTCAGAGATTGATATTTTACAAAAACTCGGTTTTGAGAAAAACGATAAAGAAGTTTTTTTTTGTGAATATTACCTGCAATCAACATAAAAATGCAAGAATTGCATGTCAATGGTAAATACATGTCACAGCGCATTGCACTATGATTGTCGCGACGTATCCCGCGATAGATGGCGTCACCTGTTGGTCGCTATTGTAAGCTATATTGTGATGAATATACTATGAAATTTTGATGATGAACGAATATTTTTTTCTCATGAGGTTATATTCGTTTTTAGGTTTTTGTTGTGATAATAGGACAAACATAATGAAACAATTGTCATTGTTACTAAACGGATCAACATATCCTAAAATTCAAAATGTACTTAGGAAAAGCTATTCGGGAAAACTTAGGAAATCTGACAAACATGTATCATAGTGCACAGGCCATCTTTTACCATTATTATTCAACAGATCAAGATCCACGACATCAAATCTGTGATCCGAAATGGTGCAAATATTTGCAGGATAGCGACACATATGATCATGATCAACATTCGATTCCTAGAGCTTGTATGGACATTATTAAACTTGCATTCGATGAATTATGCTCTAAAGAGGCTTTGAAAGAAGTTGTTAGAGGAGGGAGTCAGAACCCAAATGAAACATTTCATGGAATATTATGGATTTTAGTACCGAAATATCGTTATGCTAGTGGTTTAATGATTGATATAGGTGTTGGTTTGGCCGCTATTCTATACAATGATGGTTATAAAAAATTACGTGATTTATTTCAACGGCTGTTCAATTCATGTGGTTATTACACAAACCATGGTATTATTGCCTTAGATACTTCGAAAGAACATGATAGACAAATGTTTTTTAGTCGTAAAAGAACACGAAAAGTCAATGAACAACAAAGAAACCAGATTTTTCTAAATAATGATGACAACAGCAGCGATGGTGAAGATGATGAAAGTGATGGATATTTATATAGTATTATGTCGAGTGATGAAGATGCATACGAACCAGGTGGTGATGATTTAGATTGAACTTTTATCTACTTTTTATCGTGTTTGTTTTGCAATAAAATGAATATATAATGAAAAAATCAATTAGTCATTTTTTTTGAGTCTATATAAGTAATAATAATTCCAACTAACTTAAGTTTTTTTACGAAAATCTCATAAAAAACTTAGAGATTCAATGATATCTTTACGGATTTGTAGAGTAGACAACCCAAGCATTATGCCCATGTGTTTATCTCAAAATCTATTTTTTGACAAAAATCGACTTTTTGGAGGGGAGGGGGGTGAGGCCTTAAAAAAAACAAGAGTTCTTTTAGGAGATGATCACACAAAAACTACTATATCTCGGTCAAAAGTTATCGAAATTACCACAAACTATATATATATTCTGAATGTACACACTTTAAGCTTTCTTTCTATGTGCTTTTTTCATAAATGATTATTTGATGCATGTTAAAAATTCTTGTGCCATCGTAGGTAGGCGTCTAACTTAGTTGGAAATAAAACCATAATTGCAGACCAAAGCAGCATGTCTGAGATCTCTAGCTGAAGTATACCAAAAGACGTTCTGAAGTGAAGAGGTCGGTCCTTTTTGACCTAAGAGTCCAGTAAACTCTTACCGTCCCGGAAGTTCTAATCTGTTCTGTGTCACGCACAGATACCCCAATGGCATTTACGAATTTCCATACACTTTAACTCGATAAGACCCTTTCCTTTACAGTCAAGACAATATTTCGACCAATAGAACTGGTTGTAGAGGTCGCTCATATCCATTTTCTGATTTTCTATAGTTGACTACCTACTTCATATCACTTTCATCCATTCAAGTGGAAAAGGTTTTCTTCAAGATAATTTAGCAAAGAGATGCTTCCCAGCGACAATATACATTTTTGAGGCGTCCATCACTAACTCAATAGTAGTAGAAGCCCAAAGAGAGATATCGCGATCATCTGGCATATTTAGAATGTTAAATTGTTTTCTTTTACTCTTATTTATAAGCAAAATTTACTCGAAAAAATTCACATCAATTTTGTAGTGAGTGATTCTCTGATAAAATGTTTTGTGACAAAGTTTCGCTGTTTTAAACTTCCCATTGCCAAATTTTCTACAAGAGCATTTATATCTATGAGTGTTTTTCACAGTCTTTTTAAAAAATTAAAATTCGCGTTTTGTTGAGACTGCTCTCCTAGAAAATTTGGCAATGGGTTATTTTGGCGGTTTATCAAAGCAAAATTTCGCTTCAAAGGAAACAAACTTTTACTACTTGTGGGGAATAAGTTCAGAACTGTGGATTCAGCTTTGGTGAAAAATTGCGAAATGAAATCTTCGTCTCTCTTACCATTACTAAGTGTTTTTTTGACATGGCTGTCTAATATTTTTTGTTACTTTATGCGGCTTCTGAAGGTTAAGATGGATGCGAAGAAACTTCACATACATCAAAAATGCATTTTATTTTGGAGTTGCGATGTTTTCAAGAAACTGAAACCTATTTAAATATAGCCTTTCGAAATGTTGATACCATCTACAGAAAATTTATTCATGAAAGAGAAAATAAAAGCTCGTCTTTGATCGTTTGCTATAGATTATATTTTAGGATTAATTTCATCTGATAGTTCCTTAGAAATATCAGTTTGCTTAAACCTATTAAGGCAAAATAAATTCAAATATTCTTGTCGTCCTAATGCTGATTTCTTCTCGCCACTTTGAGAAAGGTGCGCAACATGTACTGCTAGTGCTACAAGTGCTTTAAAATTGAAATTGACGATTTTTTCATGATAGACTACCTTGTTTTAACAATATGAAACTCTAAACCGTGTGCGAGCATTCAGAGGTCACCCAGATGGATTTTTTTCCGAAATAGTTATGTTCACATGGTTCTGTCATCTTAACGAAATCTGTCTGCCTGTTTATATAAAACGCTCTCATCAGCCGATTTTTGATTTCTTCTTCGTACAATATATACACTTCTTGGTGCAATTACTGAATTTGAGTATCATGTTAGCAAACGTGTTTTACAATGATTCTGAAAACAATGTGAAAATGAACAAAGCATTTGAAAAGAAAAAGAAATTAATAATCAAATTAGACACATGATTTCGATTGCCATTTTCTATTCAATGTTCATTATCCTTCTTAAATTCACTTAGGTATATAGATAAATCAAATTTTCTTAACTGATTATGGAGATGAGAAAAATCTTCTTTCTTAGATAATTTAATAAAATTAAGACTTCCCTCCATGCAGGTAGTTCCTGTTGTTACTTGATTCAAACTCAAAAATTTCGAAGCAGAGGGATTTATGAGTAGCGAGAAAAATTATGATACTGCTATGAAAATCATAATAAAATTCTTCTGAATTTATTTAAACACTCGAGCTTTCGATCACAACTTAGATCATTTTCAAGAGTGAATGACAAAAGGAAAAGAAGCAGTATCAGTATGTATACAAAAATACATG